CTGGTTCACAGATGGCTGCCTTCTTGCTGTGTCCTTCCGTGGTGGAAGGGGTGAGGGAGCTCTCGAGGATTCCTTTTATAAGGGCACTAATCTCATTAATGAAGGCTCCACCCTCATGTCCTAATCACCTCCTGAAGGTCTCATCCTAATACCATCATATCACATAGAGGCTTAGGTTTCAACCTGTGAATTTTGAAAGAATACAAGCAGTCTAGAGCCCTGTCCTGTTACTCTGAGAAAATAACCCAAGACTTGCTTGTGGCATGGCCGTATCTTTAGTGAGCCCTTTGACTTTTTCCCAAAGTGGAGAGCAGATATTGCTCTAACCTAGAAGAGATTTAGGGTCTATTAGAGATAGGCACATATTCATGCTTTGGGTTCTACAGTGTTTGTCTCATCAAAAACGTGAGCTTACAATGAGGCACAGAGAGACAGCTATTCAACTTGGAGACCAATACTGTGGTCCCAGATCTGCCACTTAACCTGCCGTGTGAGATCGTTGGCAAACCATCGACTCCTCCAAGCCTCTTTCCTCAGCTCTCTGGGTTCAATATAACTGGCTTTGTGTGCTGTCATAGATGCTGTTGGTGCCCCACCCAGACTCCCTTCACCAGGCGGGTATACGCATTCCCAGCTGCAGTGAGTGTTGGCTAAGGGTTCACAGACAGGGTTCCCTGAATCCCTATTTCAGGTTCTGCTTCTGGAGAGCCCAACGCAAGACACCTCCCTCACAGTGTTGCAAACATCAAGTAAGATTCAATACGTGGAGGCCCTCTGAAAAATAAAGTATCAGTGGGTTTTTAGTGTGGTCTTAAACCAAGCTGTAAAAATCCCAGCTGTGGCTTCTGGGCTGAAGGCGTGTGGTGAAGGCGAATAGGACACCCAGGGAGGGCAGGGCTGTTGTCGTGCACCCTGAGGATGTGAACCCAGGCGGCTCTTCCTACCCCACCCAGGAGCCCAGGATAGTGGGCAGGCAGTAAAAATGGGTTTTCTTGAAGTTGACTAATTTTTAGGTAATGTTAAGTAGTGGTTGGACAAGTTTTTCCCATATTGGGAGGATAAGAACTAGAGCTGCAAATCATTCAGACCTTGGAACAGAGCAAGGTCACAGAAATTCCTGCCTTTGCTTCTGATGCAAAGAGTACAACAGTCCCATTGCAAACTGCAGCTTTCTAAGAGGTGCCAGTTTCAGCATATTTAAAAATTTCTGGATATTTATCTTAACAGGACATTTCAGAGGTAAATTTGGGGTGTGTGTGTGTGTGTGTGTGTGTGTGTGTCTGTGTGTAAAATTGCAAGGGAAAGAGCGAACTGTGTCCCTGAGATCTGGAACACTTGCAGTGTCCCCAGTTAATCATTGATGCCTCAGGGCCTGATGGCCACCAGGGTTGGCACTGCTGCAGGGGGCCAGAGTACTTGCTAATGGAATGCTAAGTACGCCTTTGGTACAGTTAATGATTTATCTATGCCAGTTACAGGGCTCTACACTCCCTTTCCCTGAATCTCACAGAAAGCTGGAGGTTAGGCTGGCCCTGCCTAACAGGGTGGAGGAGAAGATTATGATGATTCTCAAATTCACTATAAGACCAGACACCTCAGGGGCTTCCTTCTGTAGAAGAGTTTCTTTCCTTAGTTTCCTGAAAATATGCTTTAACAGAGAAGAATCCTGCTTTCACAGTAACTGTTGTCTGATGTTCCTTTGCATGAACCTTTGTGCGAAGATAGTGCCACGAGATGACATGATTTTATATGGGTACACAGCATTTGTCACCTTCAAACATGCATATGTTTATTTGTATGGCGTTTTTATTTCCATTGCTAGATTTTAAGTACCGTATTTGCCGGCGTATAAGACGACTGGGCGTATAAGACGACCCCCTAACATTTCCACTCAAAATACAGAGTTTGTTATATACTCGCCGTATAAGACTACCCCCTCTTCCGCACACCTTCCACACACCAAATAAAAGGTAAAACAATATCAGATTTGATTTGGCCCACTGAAGTGCAAACAAGCGTATTGTATTTCGTGTCACCACATAACCGTTTTGGCGATGTTGAGCCACCATGTCTGCTACATGTTTTTCAAGTTCTGGCCAGTGTGGGGTGCCTCTTCTTAATGCACACTTACCCCTTGGCATACTCTTTAATGCTTTCTCATTTGATTTCCAGTCCCGAACCATCTTTTCTGTTACTCCATATTGTCTTGCAGCAGCACAATTATTATTTTCCTTAGCAAAGTTTATAACTTTCAGTTTAAAATTTGCATCATACTTCTTTCTTTTGGCTGGTGCCATGATAGGGATGATAGGGGTTTGACTGGTCGACATTTTCTATGCTGTACTGTACAATGGTGCAGTATTGTGGTTGGCTGTTGGCTGTATACAAAGCCTGATTTGATTGGTCCCTGCTCCCTGTTTGCCCGCCCTGTCACTATAGCAGTCTGGTCCACCCTTGCATCAGCATCTCCCTGGGACCTCACTAGTGCGCAAGTGCGAGCTCTTCAACATTCTAACAGGCACCATGATAGCGCAAAATTGCGAATCTTCAATGCATATGTAAAGAAATATACGGTAACCCGAATTTACCACACTCGCAAAATCGCACACAGCCGAGCATACACCCAGCAGCGCTGCTGATGCCTGAACGGTATGTGGAATGAAGTGGGCGGGCATCGGGAGGCCACTATGGCACGGGGCAAGCACTATGGGCAGTCTATCTGAAGTGTACCTGGCGTATAAGACGACCCCCCACTTGGAGGCATATTTTTCAGGGCCAAAAAATCGTCTTATACGCCGGCAAATACGGTACCTTGAGGGCCTCCACAAATTAATGTTTCTGCTATACATTCATTATGTAGAAACAATAATATAAAGGGAACAAATATTGTCATTTAAATTCTTTTTTTATTTTACAAAACCCAGGTGTGTTATTTGCAGAAATATCAGAAAATAATAGAAAAAGGAGGAAAGACCCAGAGACAACCACTGTTAACCACTTTATTTCATACTATAATAGATGTGAAACCTTATCTATCCGTGAATGTGGTCCCCATCAACCTAAGGAGGGACATGCGTGTTGGTGAGGCGTCGATGGCTTCAGACATTGTTGTCTGCTTCTAGGGGGAAATGACTTCAGAATCTAAGCATTCCCTCACAGGCACTAAATCTCTGTCACGGGTAGAGTTTAGATTTTGATAGGAAAGGGGTTTTTGGTTCTTTGTTTCCAGAAATTATAAATAAGATGGTAATATTGATTTGGAGTTTTGGTTTTGTTGTTTTTTTTGTTTTTTTTTAATTGAGGCCTGACTACAAATTAGTGAGGAGGAGAGGCAGGCCTTGTGAGATTCATAAACTGTCACAGAAGAGGTGACTCAGAATAACCAAGGAGGGGATTGTTTACTTGGGGATTTTCGCTGTTACTCCATGCTTCCTTTCCTAGGAAGACATCTGTATCCTGGCTACTGAGAATAGGGTCTAAGGATGGGTTAGGGACTGGACACCTGGGAAGGGAAGTGAGCACAGTTCAAAGACGAGTACTGCTTCGTTTAGCACAGTTCTTTCTATTTTAGCTGCTTAGGGAATTAACTGTGTTAGGATGTCCGGGCATGTGTGCACACACCACCTCCCCTCCCCTTTTCTCTCACATGCTGACAGAGCATCCTCTCTGACCTTACTGGAGGGCGAGGGGCAAGGAGGATTGTTGCTATAGGTCATGGAAGGCTTTCTTTGTGAATGTAATTTGGGGTTATCCGATGAATTTTGGTTGTGCTTCCTCCATATCTACTCTCCCTTGTCTTGGAGTGGGAACATGGATAAAAGCTATTGCTAACACTGTTTTGTAATGCTATCAACCTTCTCAGGAGGTTTCTGTGACATCTTCTGTGCATTCCCAGTGCTAAAGTCCCCCAGTTTTGGGGTTCCAGGCTGTGTATTGCTGGGCTAGCTAGCCTGAGCCCTGTTCCTCCAAAGATGAGTTCATTCTGAAGGGCCTGTTGAGTTTCAGGAGTCTGAGGGTCCTTTGGGAACTTTTTCTTTCTCTGAAACTCACAGTGATTTCTTTTCTTGGAACTTCTCTCTCTGAGCATCTCCCCCTCTTCTGGAAACTATCGTCTCTCTGAACAAGTCATTATGAGGCTCAGATACATTGGGTACTTAGAAAAGTGCTTACTGAACACTTAACCCTCAACAGAGGTTAGCTGCTTACTATCTTTAGAGAAAGACAGAGCCATCTAGAGCAGCACTGCCCAATAGAAACACCAAGCAAGGCACATACGTTGTTGTAACTTTTCTAGTAGCCACGTTAAAAAATTAAAAAGAAACACATAAAATTAATTTTAACTATACATTTTATTTAACTCACCATGTCTAAAACACTATCTTTTCAACGTGTAATTGATATTTTTAAATTATCGAGATATTTTACATTCTTTTTTCATACTCAGTCTATAAAACCCAGTGTATAATTTACACTTACAGTGCAGCTCAGTTAGGACAAGCCACATCTCAAGTGCTCCTTCACCTCGTGTGGCTAGTGACTGCCATACTGGGCAGCTCAGGTCTAGCACCTTCCTACTCAAGGTGAGTTCTGGGGACCAGTAGCATCAGCATCACCTGAGAGCTTGCTTGAACTGCAGGACCTCAGCCCCCACCCCAGACCTACAGAAGCAGAATCTGCACTTTAACAAGTGATTCATTTGCATGTTAGCCTAGGAAGTACCAGTCTCGAATCCCCATCCCTGGGATTTTGATTTAATGGGTCTAAAGTATGGCCTGAGCACTTATATATGTTTCAGAGCTCCCCCAGATGATTCTAACATGCAGCCAGGCTTGAGAGTCACTTGCATAGTGGGCTCTGGAGCCAGGACGCCTGACTCTGCCACATTCTTCAAGGGTTGTTATGAGAACTAAAGAACACATGTAAAGCACTCAGAACAGCACCTAACACATAGGAAGTATGCCTTAAATATAAGCTCTCACCCTTTCTTCTTTTCCCTGAAGGTCCGGGGTTACCCAGAACCCCAAGTGACGTGGCACAGAAACGGGCAGCCCATCACCAGTGGGGGCCGCTTCCTGCTGGATTGTGGTATCCGGGGGAGTTTCAGCCTCGTGATTCATGCTGTCCGTGAGGAGGACAAGGGAAAGTATACCTGTGAAGCCACCAATGGTAGTGGTGCCCGCCAGGTGACAGTGGAGTTGACGGTAGAAGGTGAGTCCCAGGAGGAATGAGTCCTGGTGGGAGGTAAGCTGTCCACTTCTCCAAGGCCCACAGCTTCTGCCCAAGCCCTCTCTTGAAAGAGGGACCCACAAGAGAAAGTACACCCATTCCTGAACTCAGGACCTTCTACTCTAATGGCGGAAATGTGGTGTGAACAAGGGAGGTCCCAGGAGGCAAAGTTTGTCAAGCTGCACATCACCTCACTTTCCTTTTCCAGCCTCACCATGGCTTCCCCTCACGCTGAGACAGAAACCAGACTCCTTACAGAGCCCTGCCAAGTCTGGCCCCTGCCTGGCTCCCCAGACAGTCTCCTACCACCCCTCGCCGGCTCACTCCCTTGTGGTCACGCTGGCCCTCTGCTCTTCCCAGCACAAGGCCTCAAGGCCATCACCCTGCTGTTGGAGTCTAAGGAAGAACTCTTTCCACAGCCGTTCACCTGACTCAGCCCCTCACTTCCTTCAGGCCTCTGCTCAGAGGTCCCCTTCTTAGAGAACCCTTTCTGACCACCACATCCCCAGGACCCTCCATCCTCTCACTCCACCCCAATTTTTTTCCCTAGAATTCATCATTGCCTCACATTCTATTATCTCCTCCACCCCTACCACTAAATGGAAGCTCTAGGAAGAGAGGGACTTTCGCTTGTTTACAGCTATATCTCCAGCGTCTAGAAAACCCCCTGGCTCACGATAGATGCTGAAATATTGAGAGAATGAGTGAACGATATTTATTATCATTATTATAAAATAATACATGCCCAGAGGGCTGGCCGAGTGGCTCAGTTGGTTAAGAGCTCGCTCAAGAGTTTGCGCTCTGAGCAACAGCGGTTCGATTCCTGGCCCGAGCTGAGCAGCCGCTGAGCTGCCAACAGGTGGCAGGATGGCTCAGCTTAAAAAATAAATAAATAAATAAGAGTAGTTAAAATAATACATGCCCATTATAACAAAAGTTTGTAAAACTTAGAAAAATATATAGGAGTATAAGAGATAAACATACCAATGTGTTAACACTCAGTTATTTTGTCTTTTTTTGTCCTTTGTACTTAAAAAAATTCTATTAACTTTAAAACTGCCAGGAAAAACATTTGACCATAAGTAAGGCTGTTTCCTTTGCTGCACGTATATCCCCCACATGCCGAAGCCGCTTCACAGGTGAGAACATTCCCAGTTCAGGCTGCTGGCTGATGCTTAAAGACCTGATGTCTGAAAGGACATGGGGGGTCGTCAGACCCTCAGACATATGGCAAGGTTCCCTCCACCCTTCCAGGCCTTTCTAAGGGCTTAGCACCCAGAGGATCAGGCTCTCTTTTGCCTCTCACAGAAGACCATCCTCCCAACCTGCGTTTCAGGGGACACTGTATGTGAGGATTAAGGTAGTCAGGGAAAGTTCCACAGGTGGCCAGGGACACCTGGGCCAATGCTTTCCCTGTTTCCCTACATCACGGAAGTACAGACAGGCTGTTTCATAGAACAGAACATGCATAGTTTGGATACTTTCCCCAAATTCTTTCACCGAGTGACTTGTTTCTTTTAATGACCTTCAAGTGCCTGTGGGCTGGGGCATTCCCGCTGGAAAGTGGACCCGGGTCAGAGTCTCGAAATGCCCCTCATCTCAGCCAATCCTGGTGTTGAGCTTTCCCCTACATTATGGTCTTTTCAATGCCCGAACTTTGAGCTGAGGTCCACAAAAATTACTTGATCCCCACATATTAGTCAGCTTGGGCTGCCATAACAGGCCGCATGGCTTAAATAACAGAAATTGATTTTTTCACAGTTCTGGAGGCTGGAAGCCCAAGATCAAGGTCCGACAGGGTTTGGTTTCTGGTGAAAGCTCTCCTCCTGGCTTGCAGAAAGCCACCTTTTTACTGCGTTCTTAGATGGCGGAGAGAGAGAGTTCATGTCTCTTCCTCTTCTTATAAGGGCACCAGCCCTATTGGATTAGGGCCCCACCCTTCTGACATCATTTAACCTCTATCACATCTTCACAGACCCTGTCTCCAAATACAGTCATACTGGGGTTAAGGCTTCACCATATGAATTTGGGTGAAGACACAAACATTCAGTCTCCAACACCCGTTTTCTGATTTTCTGTTTGGAGCTGGGGAAACAGAATTATGAGTCAGGGGGCCAAGGTTCTGACCCAACTTTTATCAATCAGATGTGTGACTTTAAACCTCTGGACCTCTGTTTCTGTAGAATAAAGGGTTTGAATTCAGTGGTCTATACAGCTTGGGCTAGCCGTTGTATTCTATGACTCATTTCCAAGGACTGGGGTGGGTTTGGAGTGCAGGGGAGGTATATAAAACCCAGGTTATATGAAACCTTTTTTTTTTTTTAAATTCCCATCATTGAAGAAGTAAAATCTGACTTCTCAACTAAGTATAACAAATTTTCGTAGGCTGTAGTACTCCGGGCAGGGGGCAGAAAATAAGGCCAGAGAGGCACAGACCAATGAGAGGAGGCTGAGGCTCTCAACCCTAACCCATTCCCTTTGGTTTTGATCTGGGGAGAGTCAGGCCCAGACCGTTTAAGATGTTTTATGTCTTCTAAGCCTAGGAGACAGAGAGAATGGCCTGAAGGCTGCAGCCTCTTTAAATATGAACGGCCTTGTGTACATTCTGCTTCTGCATCAAAGGCTAGTTTCAGCCGATGTGTGGTTTGGAGCCCCCTCATAGACCCTAGGCCTGGATATCCACTCTGGTCCCTTCTGCCACAGACAAGTTGTTCACTGTGCCTGGGTAACCCAAGTCTTCCAAAGGGAATCTAGCAGACCCCCTGCCTTCCCGCCAGCTCTCTGTGCTGTGCTTCTCCCTTGGAAAAAGCAGAAGTTCTGAAATTAAGAGTATAATTCATATGTGGAGCCTTTTGACCCCCTAGTAGTCAAGTTTAGTAGGCCGTGTTGTGAAATGGTCTTGGATTTTAGCTCCACTAATTTCTAACTATGGGGAAATTAACCTTTCGGAACCTTGTTTCTTTTTCTGTAAGCTGGAGCTAATGGCTGTCCCACGGGTTGTGTAAGGATCAGTGCAGCACTGGTGAACAGTACGTACCTGGTAAATGGAAGTTTTGTCGTATCTGAACCTGGGAGTCACACTCTGAGAACTACTTCCAGAGGGAAATCCTTGCGTGGAGAGTAGGGGAGAAAGCTTCCTCATCTGGTTTCCAGTCTGGTAACCAGGGCCAAGAAACATGCAAGATCCTCCACGAGGACAAGTGTCTTAACAGCAGGACCATTTGTGACCTTATGCAGTAGGATGCAACCCTAGTCTGAGCCCTAGAAAGGCTCTCTGAAGCCAGCCCTGACACTCAGTGACCTCAGAGGGCTGGTCACAGAGAGGTTTGGTGCAGAGCAAGGAAAAGACATGGTGCCTGTCCTCTGGGAGCTTCCTCCTAATGGAGGGGCCACAGGCCTGTTCTCTAGCACAGCACTGTCCATAGAAACATAATGTGAGCCACATATGTAAGCTTAAGTTTCCTAATAGCCACACTGAAACAAACAGGTGAAGGCAATTTTAAAATCTTTTACTTAACCTGATGTATCCAAGATACAATCACTTCAACATAATCAATACAAAATTATTAATGGGGTATTTTACATTCTCCAACATTTGGGGTGTATTTGACACAGCACATCTCAAGTCAGACAAGCCGTATCTGAACAGCTCGATAAATACATGTAGCTAATGGCTACCATTTTGCGCAGCGCAGCCCTAGAGGCTCCCACTGGAATAGGGATAAACGAGGCTTATGCAGAGAAATAAGAGAAACCCATCCGTCCGAACAAGGTAGTGAGTCGTCCTGGGCACTCACATCCACAAAGGGAGCCTAGGGCATGGGGTGGAGTGAAGAAGGGTGGTGCTGAAGTGGATGGGCTCCAGACCCATTGATCCGAGTCTGAGAAGGCCCTTTGTGTTTCAGGCAGCAGGCAGTCACTTAAGTCATTTCAAGTAATAAAGGGCTCATTTTAAGGACATGAGCTCAGGAGCCCAGAGAGAGCCAAGATGGCAGGCTCAGAGGCGATCCCAGGCCTCAGGATGGCTCGTATTCACCTTGTAGAATTATTTCGTGCGAACACAGAGGCATATGAATCACCTAGGGACTCTTGTTGGAGTGTAGATGCTGATTCCGGAGGTCTAGAGAGGGGCCCACGTGTCTGCAGTGCTAGCCAGCCCCAGATGATGCCCATGCTGTGGGGCCACGGAGCGCATTTTGAGTAGCAAGGAAGGATCCAGTTACAGATTGATGTTTCGCCGAGTACAGTGACTCTTAAATGTCAGCACACGTCAGAACCACCTGGAGGGCTCCTGAAGCCACACACTGCTAGGCCCGGCCCCGGAGTTTCTGAGTTAGTAGGTCTGGGATGGGCTCAAGAATGTTCCTTTCTAACAAGTTTCCTAGTGATGCTGATACTTCCGCATACGGGGACCACTACTTTGAGAGCGAGCTGGCTAGTCCTTCTGCCTACTGCATTAGGGTTCTCAAAAAACAACAACAGTAGGGGCCGGCCGAGTGGCGCGATGGTTAAGAACTGGCTTGGGACACCAGAGGGCCCCGGTTCGGATCCCACATATGAGGGCCAGTGACACCGCCCTCTACAGCTAAGATGCTGAACG